GGATCAAACCCAAATGCTCCACAGCTGAGCCCCAGCCCCAGCCCTTAGTTAATTTTTTAAAAAATATTTATTTATTAGTTGTAGTTGGACACAATATCTTTATTTTATTTTTATGTGGTGCTGAGGATTGAACCCAGGGCCTCGGATGTACTAGGCGAGCGCTCTACCGCTGAGCCACAACCCCAGCCCCTCTTAGTTCATTTTTTAAACCTTTCTATGTTATTCTTTTTGTGTCACCTCTGTATTTTTATGTTATTTGTGACTTCTGAAAAGCAATCATTGGGGGCTGGGGTTGTGGCTCAGTGGAGCGCACTTGCCTAACGCGTGAGGCACTAGGTTCCATCCTCAGCACCACATAAAAAATAATAAATAAAATAAAGATGTGTCTACCTACAATTAATAATATCAAAAAAACAGCAATCATGGTTTTCCTCTGAACCTTTGGAAGTCACAGCTCTGCTTTGATCATTTTAGTGACTCCCTTACAAGTTTAAATGCATACTTAGCCAATGGGTGGCATGGACCTGTAATCTCAGCTGCAGGGCAGGCTGAGGCCGGGGATCACAAATTTGAGGCCACTTGGGCAATTAGCAAGTCCCTGTCTCAAAATACAATAAAAAGGGCTGGGAGTGTAGCTCAGTGGTACAGCATCCCCGAGTTCAGCCCCCGGCCCCCACCCCGACTCACAAGTGCATGCTGGAGTGTGGACCAGCTCTCCATCCCTGCAAGGAAACACCCGAGAAGATGACCTTATAAAGAGGAAGAGCCTGTTCTGCCTCCTGGTTTCAGTCCGCGGTTGCTTGGACACATTGCCTGGGCCTGCGGCAGCACAGAGCCTCTGGTGGGAGTCCATGGTGGAGGAGGCCACTCCCCTCACGGCCTCTAGGAAGGAAAGAGGGAGAGAGGGCCTGGTGCCCAAGTGACCACCTTCCCCACTGGGCTCCACTTCCTAAAGGTCCTTCCACCTCCCAGGAGCACCACAGCTGGTGACCAAGACTTCAGCAAGGGGCCTTGGGGACATAAGATGCTAAGTGGGCACACTAACTGAACACAGGGATCTAGTCCTTTCCCTCCCGTCAGCATTTGGCTGTCAGGCCCCGTGTCACAGCTCCTGTGAATGGGGGTACCGGGGTACTCGGAGGTGGGGTGATCAGATCCTGATCTGTGGCCCAGGGGGGTCCATCCTGGGGTGAGCGGCTGAAGGGCGGTAACCGGGGCAGGGGGGCTGGGGAGGAGGCGGCTCACTGGGGGGTGCCTGGAGGGTGGTTCCTCCCTTGGGCCTCTCCCTCCTCTCTGCTTCCCGACCCTGCCACGAGGGGGCAGCTGTCCTCCGCTGTCCCTTCCGCCATGACGTCTGCCTCCCCCTGGGCCCAGAGCATGGAGTGGCCCTCGGTGGAGGTGACTCTGGGGCCATGAGCCCCAAGTCAACGCTTTTTTAAGTAATTTTTTAGTTGTAGGTGGTCACAATACCTGTATTTTGTTTTTATCTTTATGTGGTGCCAGGGATGGAACCCAGGCCCCTGAGCCACCCCTGAACTTTCCCTCCTCTGAGTTTTCCTGGTCGGGTGTTTTGGTCACAGTGATGCAAAGGCCGCCTGGAAGCCCTCCTCCCAGACCAGCTGGGGCCTGGGTCACGTCCGCCTGCTGGCCCTCTCTGGTGTAGTCTGATCCGGCTGCGCTTCCTGGGAACACCATCATTTAGGCCCGTTTGCGGGGTCCACTCCTTTGCTTTTTCTTCTTCTCGCATCTTTTCCTTCCACCGGGGTCAGGACTGTCCCTGGTGGAGTCCAGCTGGCAGGCGCGTCCAGTGCGTTCTGAGGTGCCTTCTGGGGCTTCTGGTATAGGTGGCGGTAGCAAAGTCACTCAGCTGTCTCCTGGCTTCCTTTGAAAACTGGCTATGGCCCCACTTCTCCCTGGCTGCCTCAGGGACCTCCCGCCCTCTGAGTATTTCCCCCAGAGTGACACCCGCAGTCTGACTGGGCTGCTGTGGCAACGCCACTGACTAGCCACTGGCACAGGACAGAAGTGTACTTTGCTCAGTCCTGGAAGCTAAGAAATCTAAGATCCAGGTGCGGCACCCGGTGCCACCGGGCCTCCCTGCTGCGTCTCACATGGCGGGCGGAGGGCAGAGGGCAGAAGGCAGAGGGCAGAACTCCCTCCACCAGCCCTTTATGGTGGCGCGAGGAGTCCCAGGACCTGAACTCCTAAAGGCCCAACCTCCTTTTGTCTCCCCTCCCAGAACAGGGGATTGAACTCAGAGGCATTTACCATGGAGCCACATTCTCACCCCCGCCTTTTTTTTTATTTTGGACTTGAATTTGCGATCCTCCGGCCTCGGCCTCTCGGGTAGCTGGGACCACAGGGGTGTGCCAGAGCCCGGCGTAAGGCACAACTTCCTAAGGCTATCACATGGCCATTAAGGCCCGACACCTGAATTTTGGGGGAGACACGTGCAAACCTTAGCAGTTTTTCGAATTTTCACTACACTTTCCTCTTCATCACCTGGTAGTTTAGAAGTGCTTTTATTTTTTTCTTTGTTGAACTCATTTCTGTTGAGAATCCCCTAGAGAGTGTGGATTCTAATAATAATAATTATTAGAAGGTGGGATTACACACCTGTAATCCCTGCAATTTGGGAGGCTGAGACAGGAGGATTGAAGGTTCAAGGCCAGGCCAGGCACGGTGGTGCTTGCCTATAATCCCAATGGCTTGGGACACAGGAGGATGGTGAGTTCAAAGTCCGCCTCAGCAACTGAGTAAGGCTGTAAGCAACTCAGTGAGATCCTGTCTCTAAATAAAATATAAAAAGGGCTAAGGATGTGGCTCAGTGGTTAAGCACCCCCTGGGTTCAATCCCTAGTACCAAAAAAAATAAAGTTCAAGGCCAGCCTCAGCAATTTACTGAGATCCCGTCTTAAAATAAAATATACAAGAAGGCCGAGGGTTTAGCTCAGCAATAAAGCATCCCTGGTCCTTTCCCCATTACCGAAAAATTAGTAATGCTTGGGGCTTTGTGGGACCTTTTGGGGGGTCTGGGACATTGACTGCTCCCCACTTAAAGTCTATTCTGTCTGATATTTATGTAACTAAAGGCATTTCTTTTGGTATCTTTTAACATCTTTATGCTCTTCCTGTCAGTGCTTTCAGGGGGTGTCTTATAGACGATGCAGCTGGATTTTGAACTTTGTGGCACAGCACCTACCTTGCAGCTCTGGCCCCCTACACCGTCGTGACTCGCAACACCTGGGCTTCTTATTCTGTGCTTCTAATGGTGGGGGACAGGGTATCCCAAAGTATTAGTGTAGCTGTTGTTTCCTTGGGGTGCTGGGGACGAAGCCCTGGGCCTTGCTGGTGGCGGGAGAGCCTCCCTACCCCATTGCGTGGCGTCCCCGCCCACTTGGTGCCTCTGGGGACCACCTGTTATTGTGAAAGTGTCAGAACACCCCGTGTTTGTTCGCCCAGCACTGTCTGGGGGAGATAGTGAACACGCAGCCTCTTTACACTTTAAAATTCCCCCTCCTCCCAATCAGCCCAGAGCCCCTGGAAGGCACTCAGCAGTCACCTGCCCCCTTCCGTGTGCCTTCTGACGTCACTGGGACAGCACTGTCACCAACGGCTGCTGTTCAGTGCTGGACGTGGTCTCACTGCTCCTTCTCCTTAAGGGTCTTTTACGGGGAGAACTTCTAGGTTCTTCTTCTCTTGCCAGTTTGAGACGCCCCCTCCCACCTGCGCGCTCTCCTCCTCTGGGGACGTCCGCTTTCTGCCTAAGGGGCTGCCCTGCTGGGGCCTGCTCTGTCTCTGCTCTCCAAGGTGCACATGTTCTGCATTTGGACAGTGACTTTTTTTCTTCTGGGCACAGTGCGGGGGCTGGCAGCCAGGGCTCTGCACGGGCCAGGCAAGTGCCCTGCCGCTGAGCCACAGGGGGCCCCCATCCCCTCACATCACCCATTTCTGCGTCTCTGCAGTGGGGCGGGGGGTTTCAGGTCAATGGAGACTGGAGCCTGACCTGCCCGGCACCATTTCCTGGGCCACAGGGTTCTGCAGAGTGCGGCTGCCAAGAGCCCAAGCTGCAGTTCCGCCCCCCACGGTGGGTGACAGCAGGCTCCTCTGCAGAGAGGCCCTAGGGTGGCTGCTGTGGGCCTGGGCCTGGGCCTGGGGGGACAAAAGACTCTGCTGCAGGCCCGTTCCCCACCACAGACCAGGCGTGATCCTCAGCCTGCGGTTCCCCTCGGCACCCCTGGTGCTTGGTGGGGTTCCTGCTCTGGCAGCCGGGTGGGCCCCGAACTTGGTGTCCAGAGGGCGGTGGGGCTGCTGGCCACTGGTACAAGGACTGCACTCCAAGGCGTCACCACAGGGCGGGGCAGCTTGTGGCCCCCGGGGGCTGAAGGCATCCCTCAAGGGGAGAGAACAGCCTGAGGGCCTCCTGGTGGCTCCGGGCCCAAGGGCAGCCCAGTGTCCAGGGAAGGGGGTGTGTCGTCCTGACAGCCTGTTCCTGTTTCTCAGCTGGGGGCTGAGGGGAGGTGCTAGGGGACAGCAGGCCTCATGGGGCCACACCAAAGGTCAGTGACAGCCAAGTGGGCCCCACGCCTGCCGTGGTGGCCGTGGAGCAGCACCTACCCTGCTGCATCCGAGAGAAGGTGGGTGGGGGGTGCAATGATGGCATTTAATGCAGCTGTGACAAGCACGGTGGGAGGGCAGGGCAGGGCCGGGCAGGGCTGGTGACCGCCCACCCTCTGGGCCGCTCTAAGACGTCCTCCCCTTTGGGGAAACACTGATCTGGCTGAGGGACAGCGCCATGAGGTCTGGGTGACCCTGGGACGGTGCCACCAGGGAGGCTGTGAGTCCAGGCCAGGGCCCCCGAGAGGCAGCCGCTGAGGGCAGCAGGTCATCGCCATCGTGGGAGGGGGCCGCGGGCGGTGGCGAGCAGGTGAGGGCGCCCCGGAGAGCTGCCCTGAGGCAGGAGGCGGGCACAGGAGCAGCAAGAAACGCACAAAGCCGAGCTCTTGGAACAGCGATAACAACGTCTTCAACAAAACGGCAACACAACGACGTCCCTGCTGCCGGGCGAGGCGGGCGCTGCCCTGGGAGGCAGGGAGCTGAGCTGCGGGCAGCTGGGGCGGGACAGCACGGAGGCTGTCACTGTACCTCTAGCGGGGCGACCTCACGTCCTTCCCTGGACTTCAGGGGACAAAGAGACAAGACTCCTGAGGGGCGAGTCTCTCTGGGAAAGGTCTCCCGAGGTGAGTGTCCATGGCAGAGCAGGTGGCCTGCAGAGGGAGGGAGGTCCCCGGGCAGAGGCCGGGGTGGCGGCCAGGGCCTGGGGGTGGCCCTCCTCATCTGGCGGGCTTGGCAGGTACGACCCGGTGCTCCCACCAGGAACCCCGAGGCCGGCAGGGCCGGGGTGTTGGCTGTGGTGGCCCCTCACTGGGTCCGGAGCTGGTAATCTAGGCGACAAGAGGGAGGCGTCCACCTCGGCTCCGTTCCCAGGGCCCCGCTCCCACCCCTCGGCACCCCCAGGCAGGGCACGCTCACCTCCGTTCTGGGTGATGTAGCGGACCCAGGGCAGCGCCTGGTAGCCGCTCTTCTCGATGATCTTCAGGTAGCGCACCTGGGACACGGGACAGAGCTGAGCACATGCGTGGTCCTCTCCTCACGCCCCGACCCTCCTCCCGCTGGCGGGGAGGCCGTGAGGGGGGCAACACGGGCCGCAGGAGGCCGAGGTGAGTGTCGGAGCCCTGGGTACAGGAGGCCCAGAGCCAGGCTGTGCGCCGGGCAGCTGCCTCCTGGACAAGAGGCCGCCCAGACCCTCCGTGACCCTCAGCTGCCCATGCGCTTTCTGAGGGGAGCCTGCCATGCTACGCGCTGCAGGGCGGGGTGCAGGCCTCTCCCTGGTGGGGCTGGGCCCGGGGAGCAGAGCCTCCTGTGCCCGCGGCAGGCTGAGCGAGCGGCGGCCCTCTCCCACTGCTCGCGCCGAGTCCACTGCGTGTGGCCTGCGCTCGCTGACGCCCAGTCCCCGCGGCCCCGCTGCAGCCCACGTACCTGGATGCCTGAGGTAGTGAAGTAGGGGATCTCGAACTTGACGCTGATGGGGGGCTTGCCCTCCTTGTCCTCGGCCTCCACGCTGGGCAGGCCAAAGTGGGCCCGCATCAGGTACTCCTTGCCGCCCTGGGCAGGGGGGACAGTCAGCCAGCACCGCCACAGCAGCCCACGCTGCGCTGGCCCCGGGACCCCGCCTGTCTGCTTTGGGTTGCCCAGCGCCCCACTTTCCCTGCCAGGCCTGTCCCCCATGCCTGACGTCTGCCCCCACGGGCCCCAGTGGGCAGCCAGAGCCACTCTGAGGAAAGGCAATGAGTTCTCAGAAGCAAAATGGCTTCAGAAGGTTCAGGAAGAGGAGACGAGGTGCCACGGAGGCCAACAAGACAGCGTGGCCTTGGGGGGAGGAGCAAGGGACTGAGCAGAAGTCACAGGCAGGGGCTGGGGGACAGGCCATCTGCCAGCCTAAGGTCTAAGGGACAGCTCCATGTGCCCAATGTCAGGGCAGAACGGGAAATGGACAAGTCAAGAAGCCTGTGGACAGGGAGAGGTGACGAGCAGGACCCCAGGGACAGTGCTGACCGAGGGCTGGCCCAGGTCCTGCTCCCCAAGGGTCGGGGGGCAGCAGCCTCAGGCGCAGGAGTGAGCAGCGACTCCAGAGGTGGGGCCAGAGCAAGGCCAGGGGGGCCGGCATGACCCTCTCCTTGCCCTGGCCACACTGGGACACCACAGTCTTTGGTCCCCAGAGGCCTGACCAAGGCTCAGCAGGGGTCGCTGTCTGTTTGGCCCCAGAGGGGGCGCGTCCTCAAGCCTCAGCTCTCTCCTAGACGTCTGCCCGTCCCCCCAGAGCCAGGGAGACGACGGCCCCGAGTGTGGCCAGGAAGCAGGAGGGCAGCTGGACAGCCACAGCCAACAGCGGCTGCAGGAGGGGAGCCCACCTCTCGCCTGGACGCCACCCGCCCAACCAGACCTGCATCCACACTGTGCCCTGGGAGCAAAGAGAGCAGGCAGGAAAGGGGACACTGGGAAGAGGGCCCCCAAGACGGCGGGTCCCCCACTTCATCCCCCCTCAGTGGGGAGGACTGCAGACTGACTCAAGCCAGAATGAGAAGCCACGAGAGGAAGAGGAGGCCACTAATGTCACAGCAGGGGACCTGGGCAAGAACGCCCCCTGAAGAGGGGGACAGGCCACCGCTGCACAGCCCCAGGCCTGGACTCCCAGGGAAGACAAAGCAGTTCCTGAGAACCTAACAGCGCGGCAGCCACTTCCACAGAGCAGAGGGGACGAGACGGGCACCTGCCGCAGGAGGGGCCCCGGCCCTCGTCCAGGTGGACGGCGCTGCGCTGGGGGCTGAGAACAAGGCCTTCATCTTCCCTCAGTCCATAAAGGACAGCACAGGGACTCACTGTGGCCGCACCTCCACCTACAGGGCGGGGACACGGGAAGAGAAGCCTCCCTCCACCTGCGTCAGGAAGTTTAAAAGACAAAACAAAACAACCTCTATCTGAATACATTATTTTAGAAAATAATGTAAAGTATTACAAGCCAGAATTACAGCATAGACACCTGTATAAAAACGAGCTTTAAAACAAAAATAAGTGAATTAAACATGTGACTCAGACAAAAAAAGACTCAGGGCTGGGGATGGAGCTCAGTGGAGAGTGTGGGCCATTCCTGGTCCCTCCGGGAATGCAAAAAATGAGATAAAATAAAATTAATTTAAAGACTTAAATAGGAAAGGAAAATAAATAACAAATAAAGTCAAAAACAAATCTGGAAAAAAAAATAAACAGACAAACCACTAGGTAACCTTATCCCCTCCCCCCCCAAAAAGGTAGTCAAAAATACACAAAACAAGAAATAAAGGAAGCCAGGCGCGGTGGCTCACACCTGTAGTCCCAGCAGCTGGGAGGCTGAGGCAGGAGGATCGAGAGTTCAAAGCCAGCCTCAGCAAAATTGAGGCCCTAAGCCACTCAGTGAGGCCCTGGCTCTAGATAAAATACAAAATAGGGCTGGGGATGTGGCTCAGTGGCCGAGCGCCCCTGAGTTCAATCCCTGGTATCAAAAACCAAACTAAAACAGGCCCACGTGGCTCGGGGACAGGACAGCTTGGCTCATCGAGGCGTTACTCTTCCCCATTAACAGCAGCCTTGTGCAGACCCGCGGGTTCCAATGATTGGGAGGAAAAGGAAGCCCGCGAAGGCTGCCGGGAGGTCAGTGGAGGGAAGCGCCCAGGGCGTAGGGCTGTTAGGCGGGCAGGGCGCCAGATGTGAAAACAGAATGAAGCGCTAGTTCAGACAGCGCCATCCCCTTCAGATGGACAGAATAGAGGAAGTTCAGAAATAGACCGACTGCCACGTGAAAATCTGGACCTGGTGAACACGGCATCTCAAACTGTGGGAAGACAGACTCGTTAGTAAATGACTAAAGGAACCTGAATGGACCTCTGGACAGAGAACGTGGGCTCTGTGTCTCCTCCCGTGTACCAGGCCGAGCTCCCAGGGGACCCAGACATGCCACCGTCGGGCTCTGGAGGCAAACGTGGGTGAATTCCTCTGTGCTAGGAACGGGGAGGCTTCCAAAGCATGACTTAAAATCCAGACACAACACAAGGAAAAGACAGACATGTGACGATGTTAAACCACAATATTAACAATGAAACAAGGACACAATCAGCAGAAGATGCCAGAAACAAAGTCCAAAGTGAACTATACACCACTTACACCAACAAAAAGGTCCCCATCCAGCCCATATGTAAAGAGCACTTGGAAACCAAGAAAAGGACCCAACCTGCCAAAAAAATTGAGCAAGAGAAAGCTAGTTCCCAGAAAAAGAAATGCAAATGGCCCTTAGTCACAAGAAAAGCACTGCTGATAACAGGAGAAGAGCAAGTCACAGTGGCACAGCCACAGTCCACTCTCTCTGCTTAGAAGTCTGAAAGCTTGACAGCAACTCTGCTGCTGCCCTCCCTGGGGAATCTCTGCAGGCTGCGACCCACCTTCCCTGAAGCCACACTCCCAGGACACAGGATGACACAGGCACAAGGTTAACCGCTGAAGTGTCTCTAAAGCCAAAGATTATAAACAACGCAGTTGCCTGCAGTGGGGGATGGTGACTGGCGACCCCAATAAGTAAGTGCAGATACAAAAACTGGGAGCTGAAGGGCAACACCATCTTGAGAGAGGAGGAGGAGCCAGGAGGTGCCCTTCCTGTTTCCCGAACACACTTCCAAGCTGTAGCTGGGCCCCTGGATCCAGAGAGGGCGAGCAGCAACGGACAAAGAGCTGGTGTCACCTAGGGGCCTTCAACAGCACCAGAGCCGCACTGGCCTTCCTGACCTCCTGGAGGAGGAGCAGGGAGAGCCTGGGGGAGGGTACTCACTGGAAAGGACTTGATGGACCACACGATCTCGCTGTTCTCAGGGACCCACTTGACGCTGCCCACCGTGGTCTTGAACTTGGGTGAGTCGGCATCGTTGGGCACGGGGATGTGGATCTCCACGTTGTTGGCAGTGGACCGCCGCTTGAACTGGCTCTTGGCCTGCAGAGGGGGTTGACTTGGCTCAAGGTTTGGGAGGGTAAAGGTGAGATGGCCCAGCTCAGCCACCCAGGGCCACCAGGGCCCCAGCCCCTCAGCCTGGCCTGTAGATCTGCTCCCCAACGATGAGCCCTGGTATCTCCAGGCACTTTCCCGCCCTCCCCCACCCTCAACGCCCCCCTGAGCCTGGCTTCTGAAGTCGGGTGTCTCCCGCCTGTCCCCCAAGCCTCCGTGGCTTCCCAGATCTCCCCCTGGCCTGGCCTTGGACTTCTAGGACAATGTCTGTGTCCCCAGCCTGGCATGGGCTAGAGTGTCATGGAGAGGTGAGCGTCCACCTGACAGGCAGCCGCTCTGGGGAGCCTCCCTGTGCCTGGCCACAGGCCCCTCCAAGGAAGTGGCACCATCTGAAGGGAGCCCTGGGTGGTGTCTCTTTCCTGTCCTTGGCCACCCCCCCAGCTGAGCCCACACTGAGGCAGCACAGATGGCAGCCCCGTGACACCCCGGCCCTCATGGAAGCCGATGCCCGAGGCCACGGATGGGCCAGGGCCACTGGAAGGCTCTCAGTGGGCGGCACACCGCTGGCCCTGCCCGGCTCCCGGCTGACCTTGATCATGTACTCGATGCGGCTGTGGGAGTGCTTCTCGATCACAGACTCGATCCAGATCAAGGGCTTGACCTGGGGGGAGGGGACGCACTGTCTCATAAGTGCCTCGGGTGGGAGGGGGAGGCCTAGGGCAAGGGCCATCTCCAGGGAGGGGTCTCGGTGCCCCGGGCCCTGGGAAGAGTGTTCGGCCAGCACAGGCGCAGGCAGAGTGCTGCCTGGAGAAGGGGCCTGCAGGGGCCACCACACCTGGCGGGGGGAGGGGCTCTGTCCTGCCTCCTCAGGGAGCTCAGGCCCTGGGACTCGGTCTCCTTGGAGCCGGACACTGCCCATGGAGTGGGGGTGGGCAGACACCGTGCCTGCCCTGGGGCCACCTCGTGGAGCGAGACACCCCTGGGGACAGGGCCTTGGGCCTCACTCACGTGGGTGTTGAGGCGGTAGGACATGAGCTCAAACTCGCCGTCCGGCGGGATGAAGGAGATGGTGCGGTCGTTCTCGAAGCGCGAGAGGCGCACGCACTGGTGGAACTTCACGTCCTCCAGCTCCACAGACTTGCTCTTGCCCCCTGAGGGAGGGAGGGAGGGTGAGCCCTGGGCTCCCGGCAGAGCAGGGCCCACTGACACCCCTGCTGACCCTCGCTTCCCTGGTGGCACCTGATGACGATGCCTACTGTGGTCCTGGGGACAGGGCTGGCAGCGGGCTTCTCCGGACACACTTGCTGATGATCGGTGGCTCGGCTCCTTGAAGGGCCAGGCCCCCCCGTGCCCTCCTGCTGGAACCTGTTTCCCACCTCACTAAGGGGACCGGGGGTGCCCCTGCCCAGCCATCCTCATGGGCTAATAATGCCCGGGAGAGACAATCCTGGGCCACCGTAGGAAGTGCTGCAGGTCACTTCCACTTCCCGTGACCTTCCCACGGCCCAGGGGAGAGACCTGGCCTGACGGTGCAGGCGAGGCTGAGGCTGCTCGCTGACATTTACAGTGCTCCCTGGTTTTCCCCAGCCCTGGGTGGCCTGGGACCTGACTCTGGGATTTCCACTCTGGCATCTCCTTCGCCATCTTGTGAGCCCTGTGAGATGCCCTAGGCCATGTGCTCGAGCCGGCCTCTCCTCCATGGTGAGCAGCCCCATGAAGCCCGCCCCGGGCCACCGCTGCCCGCCCCCCCACTTGGCCTGGTACTCACGGCCCGTGTTGTCGAAGAGGACCTTGTCGTTGAGGCCCAGGCGCAGCTCCGGCATTCCCGAGAGGAAGACCCGCATCTTGATGGAGCCCACGATCTCGCTGCGCAGGACGTTGCCGTTGGCACTGACCTGGAGACGGCGGCTGGTGTGAGGGGCCCCGCCTGCCAGTGTCCCCACCACGCGGCGGCCCCCCACGGCTTTCTTCTCGGCATCCCTCCTGTCTCCACGCTCCCCCTCATGAGCCCTGGCGGGGGCAGCCCAGGCACAGACCCCGCTCCCAACCCACGCCAGGCTGAGAGCTCTGGGCACGAGGGGCTCTGTCCAGCCCCCTGCTAGAACCAGGGGGACATACACTGCAGGCCCCACCTCATAGGTCTTGGGCCACACTGGGCCTGGTGATGCAGTGCCAGGAACTGACCTAGGCGCTCTCACATGGGAGCCCCTGAGTGACCCCTGAACAGACCGAGCAGCTGGTTCCTCTGAGGCCGCGTCCTCAGCTGACCCGGGGCAGGACCCTGCCAGCCCTGGTCACCTGGCGGCAGGGCGCGGCTCTCACTTTTCTCCAGGTCTCTGATTCTCCACCTGGGCCTACGGCCCCTCCTCCCCAGGGTGGTCAGAGGTGGAACATCCGGGTCCTGGCCCTCCCCGTGTCCCAGGGCTGCCCTGAAGTCTGAGAGCCCTCAATCCAAAGTGACGATTAACGAAACACGTCCAGGCACAGCAGCTAAGGCCCCAGAGGACCGCAGCCTCTGTGCCAGGCCACCCGACACACTCTCGGGGCACCTATGGGGCAAGGATTCTGACCGGAGGTGACAGGAGGGGGCCGCTACTCACTGCACTCATAACCCAGGACACACTTGAGAGTGCCGTTACATGCCACCAGGTGACAGCCTGCACCCACCACCCGTCCCGGGAGCCCCCGTTAGGGAGGAGGACTTTGCAGCACAGAGGGAAGCCCTGGGCCGAGGACGGAGGAGGGAACCACAGCCCTGCCTCAGCTCACGTGGTCACTCTGCACGGGCAAGGCCACGCTGGCAAGCACGTTGAGGGCCGTCAGCTCAGACCCAGGGGCCACATGCCAGGGCGCACCCGCCCAGGGTGCAGGGAAGGCCCAAGGTAGGGTGTCTACAGAGGAGGACATCGCCCAGTTTTTCACACAAGCATCTAAAAAGCACCGGGTGGACCAACGGAGGCCCCACCAGGCTGCTGTCACTGAGGGGAGGGGAGAAACGGTGGGGCCAAGGGGACTACAACTCTGAGGAAGGCACAGGAAAGGACAAGGCCCTGCAGGCCCGCCTCCTGCCGTTGTCCCCCGTCCAGTCCCACCCACTGGCCTCCCGTCGCCTGTGCCCAGGCAGCACCCTGGTCTCTCCCACGCCCTGCCGTCTGCCTGCAGCACCCTCCAGTGAGGGAGGCCAGGCCGCTCCCTGCTCAGCCAGCACCAGGCAGGCACCTGGACCCCTGAGCTCCAGGACCAAGTCTTGGGGGTCCCACCTGCCTCGCTCCAGGGCCCCCGGGCCCCCTCCTCTGGGAGCTGCCCCCTCACCTGAGTAGGTGTCCTGAACCCTGGCCGGCAAGCCCAGGCAGCACAGCCAGAAGGCCTCCCAGCTCATGAGGCCGGTCTCTGCCTCAGGGCAGCTGTCGGGCCAAGCGCCTTAGCCGAGGCTGCCTGGCCACCCAAAGCCAGTGCCCTCCACAGGGCATGGGTCAGATAGATGTTTACCAAGGGGGACTGGCTGCAAGGTCCCCTGCTCCATCCACATGACAGGAATCTGGAGACAAATGTTGACCCAGCCACCAGGTCTGCAGTCAGACTTAGGAAGGTGACGCTCTCACATGGGCCCCTGTGGTGACCTTTATGAAGGAGTGGGATCCTGGGCAGAGCCACACGCAGCAATGCACTATGGCTAGGTGCTGTCCCCCTCAGCTCTAAGCTGCACCCCTAGATTTGCTTTTCCACCCCAGAGAACCCCAGAGCCGTGTTCTGGGTTCCAACAATTCAGACGAGGGCTCCTAGGCAGAAGGGGACGGTGGTTTACGAGGTCACCTTCTCGGCACACAGGGTCGCAGCGAGAGCTGTGGAACGATCTTCTAGAGGAGCCCCCTCTCAGGCAGCTCCAGGCCTGGAGACCCCACCCTCTGGAAGTCCCGACCCAGTGAGGGAGCTGTCGCCAGCACACACCTGCCGATGAGCAAGCATGGCCTGTGCCCTGCTGTGACGGCCAGAGGGACACACCCTGGGCCCACGTGACGGATCAGCAGGCCAGGCCAGGCTGGGGGTGCTGCAGGAGGGCGGCAGCTCCCATCAGCCCCGCCAGCCTCACTGCGCACTGACGGCCACGGCGGGCCCTGGACACAAGGCCCTGGAGGAAGTGAGCACTGTGGGCAGACGGCATTGGAGGGCCTTGGCTCACTTGGGGCTGGAAGGGGAACTGGGGAACTCGGGGGGACAGTTCTGTTCTCTCATGTCCCGGGCCCAGGCCATCCCGTGATGCTGGCTGCTGCTCCAGGATGGGCAACCCTGTGCTCTTCCCTGTCCCCACCTGTGTGAGGCCCGTCGGTGAACCCCACAGTGGCCAGCTGGAGCCCCGGGCTCGGTCGGGGGAAAGGGAACGGCTGGATAGAGCGCAGAGAGGGACTCAGGAAAGCCACCCAGAAGTCGTGTCTCCAGAGCACTCTGGAGTTTGCGTGAGAGTCTGATCCTCGTGCCGTATGACTCGCCCCCCACTCAGAGCCGAGCTGACCACCCGGGCCCCAGAATGACCACTGGGCAAAAAAGTGAACGGCCCCGAGGCTTGGGACTCAGCTCACAGCACTGGGCTGGAATTTGTGGCCTGGACAAAACCAGGTCAACTGTTGGATAAAACAAAAGCACCAACATTTTCCATATTATTTAAATAAGACCTAGAATCTCATCATGTAGTAATTTAGAGTTCAGGATATGATTCATAATTATGCAGCACATGAAGACCATGGCAATTTCAACCTGCGTGGTAAATATACCATCTATGGATGTTACTGCTGACACACAGATGTCAGGATTATCTGACAGGGACTTTAAACAGGCACCTTATAATCATGAACATGCTTGTGACCAATACTGAAATAGGAAGTCTCGGCAAAGAAAAGATGACACTTAGAAAAATTAAATGGTGAAAATTTTAGAAGTAAAAAAATACACTAACTAAAATAAAAATGAAAAGCAGAAAGGAGACAACACAGGAGAGGGTCAGTGAACTTGTGAACCGGAAGACAGATCAACAGAAATGATCCAGTGGGTACAACGGAGAGAAGATGGGAAGGACAGAGTCTGGGGGACCCACAGGACAATAACAGAAGTCTGACATTCCCGTGGCACTGGAGTCCAGAAGGAAATGGAGTGAAATAAAAACATACCTGAGGACGTCGTGGCTGAAGACTTCCTGAGCTTGGTGAGAGACTAAACCTACAGACTCAGGAGGTGAGTGAAGGGCTGGGCCGAGCGCAGTAGCGGAACACCGGCCGGCACGTGGGGAGGACCTGGCTTCAGTACCCAGTACCACAGGGGAAAGACGGGAATAAACTCCAAACAAATAGGAACACACAGACACCCACACCTGATGTCTGAAGTCTAACTGCGGCAGGCCGCAGACGTGGCTCGACGGTACAGTGCTCGCAGAGCATGCACGAGGCCCTGGATTTCATCACCAGCAGCAGGAAAAATAAAACCTAACTGTTGAAAACTAAAGGCAAAGAAAGACTGGGAGAGCAGCCAGAGCAAAACGACACATGACCCACAGAGGACAAGGACCTGAGCGACTGGGGACGCCTCACCAGGAACAGCAGCCCAACATGTTTAAAATACTAGAAGAAAACTGCTGATCCAGAGTTGTGTGTCCACTGAAAAGATCCTTCAGGAACAAAGGCAGAATGTGAAGACACTCCCAGATGAAGGAAAAACCAGGGACACTGGTGTCCCACAGACCTGTACTATAAAAATCGCTAAGAGAAACGTCTTAGATGGAAGGAAAATGATGCCAGAGGACTGGTGAGCACCTGGGTATCTATGGGGACTGCTCTCCTCTCAGGTAGCAGTGGGTCTCACAGTTGAGAAAGGAGTTCAGGTGTCTGGTGGGCTTTTCCACATACGCAGACGTAACAGGACGACTCTACCATCCAGGGATAGCAGTGTTCACACAGACCAAAGGAAGTGTAGGAGGCTGGTTCCAAGTAACTCTGAAATCACAAGTACAGTCACCCGTGTTTAATGACCAGGCTATGTTCTCATTAGGTGACTTTGTCACTGTGCCAACATCATAAGTACACTCATACGGACCTAGATGCATAGAGGTCACAAGTCAATAACTAGACACGGCCTCTCGGTGCAATCCAGAGACCGTGGTAACACAAGACGTATGAGACTGCTGCTGTGATCACACAACACAGTTTTATGGCCAAAAAAAACCCCAAAAACAAACAAACAAACAAACAAAAAAACACTAAAAGGAGGACTCTTGGAAATGGTGATAAACAGTGTGGCATGGTAAATACGTGCACCAATAACCCAGTCGTTCATTATCACTATTAAGCATTACACACTGCACACAGCTGTATGTGCTGTACTTTTTTATACGACTGGTACCACAGTAGGTGTGTTTACACCAGCATCACCAACACGTGACATGACAGCTATGACATCACCCGGTCACAGGAAATATTCAGTTCCTTTAAAACCTTATTGGACCACCATCATATATGTAGTCCATTGTTGACCAAGATGTCATTATGTGGTGAATGACTATTAGTAAAACAGAGAACAGGAAACAAATGACAAAATGGTAGACTTCAGTCCAAATTCAGTCACAAAAAGTATGAATGGCCTAAACACATGCAATTAAAAGACAGAGACTACAGCTGGGCACGGTGGCACAAGTCTGGAATCCTAACTACTCAGGAAGTAAAATGAATTCAAGATAGCCTGGGCAACTAGTTATTTTTATCAAAAAAAAAAGATCATCAGATCTTTAAAAAATTTATGGTCATTTTGTGTATACGGCTTAAAGTAAAAGGATGAGAGAAAAAGTAAAAGAAAAACGTACACCGTGAAAAAACTAACCACAAGCGCACCAGAGAGGCTGGGGCTGGGGCCTAACCGCCTGCCCGGCCCCGGGTTCCGCTCCCAGCACCTCCAACCAAACAAAGCAAAACGCTGGGGAGACAGTGTTGATAGCAAAGTGGACTTCAGAGCAGAACACTTATCAGAAATGAAGAAGGACGTGGCATAATAATAAAGGGTTCAGTTCATCAAGAAGACATGAGAAGCCTAAATGCGTAGGTGCCCAAGAGCAGGGTGGCAAAGACACACAGCCACCGTGAAGGCAGGCACCCTACCCCCTCTGTCAGTAAAGGGTGACAAGCAGCAGAGCACTGCCAAAACTGCTGGAAAAACTGAACAACGCCATCGATCAGCTGGATCTAACGGGCCTTCACAGCACACGCCACCCAAGGACAGCAGAGGACACACTCCTTGGCTACACACATGGAGCTCTCACCAGGAGAGAGCATTCTTGGGTCCTTAAAACAGACCTAACACATTTTAAAGAACTGAAATTATTCAAGGTATGTCCTCAGACAACAATGGAGTTAAATATCAATGACAAAGGATGACAAAAATCTGCAAACCTTCAGAAATTTAAACATAACCCATTGTCAAAAGGAAAGTCTCAAAGGAAATTTGAAGGTATTTTCGAACAAAAATAAAACCCCAACATATTGATTGTGAGATGTTTTAAATAACAATGATTTGAAAATTACAGCATTAAGGGTTTACTTCAGACAGGAAGAAAAGTTTCAAATTCCTATCTACAGCTTTACCTAAGTAACTAGAAAGAGAAGAGAAACCTTCATTAAGGGGAAAGAAATAGTAGGGATGATGCAGAAATAAAATTGAAAAAAACAGAAAAATGGGGGGGGGGGAATCAATGAAATCAAAAGCTGATTCTTTGTAAAGATCAATAAAATAGGTAAACACCTCACAAAACTGATAAAGAAAAAGGAGAGAAAACACAAATGATCAGTACTGGGAATGAAGAGGAAATACCAGCATAGACTTTCAGACATTAAAGACCTAAAGGATTGCTATAAACACCACTCAACAAGTCATGTGACATGGACCAAGCTCTAAAATAAAAAAAAAAATAGTAATGAAATAAAAAGTTGAAATTTGTAGTTAAAAACATTCTGAAAAAAATCACTGCTTAGTTTCATAGTTTCACTGGTGAATTTTAACAAATGTTTAAATAATTAGCACCAATTCTATATAATCTCTTTCAGAAAAGAAGAGGAAATACGTCCCAGATCATTTTATAAGGACATCACTACCTTGATACCAAACCAAACCTAAGTATTACAAAATGAGAAATACAAACCAGACTTTGTTATGAATACAGAGCCCTAACTCTCCAGTACAATATCAGGCAGACGAAAGCCAACAATACATAAAAAATAGCACACCAAGACCAACTGGATCTACTCCAGGAATGCAAGCCTGGTTCAATCATCAGAAAGCAGCTGGCGGACACCACCATGTTAACATCTTGGGTGGGGTGAGGCTGGCGAGAGCCTGCCTAGCACGGGAGGTCCTGCCTAGCACGGGAGGTCCTAGGCTGCGGCCCCACCATGGCAAAAAACAAGCAAACAAACATCAAACAAAAATCTAAAAAAGGAAACCCCCATGCTGGCAACAATTCACACAGAAAAAGCATTTAACAAATACAACACTTATTATACATGATAAAGATCTTGCAGCAGATTAGCAATAAAAGGGAACTTCTAACATGAAAACAGGACGTTGACAGCTGCCTTCCTAGTTAGCAGTGAAAGACTGAATACTTTCCTTTCAGGAACAGGGAAAGAAGGTCTGCTCTCAACGCTCACAGTCAACACTGCCCTGAAAGTTTTAATGAGGTAATAGGTCAAGAAAAGAGAGAAAAGGCATAAAGATTTTATTAAAAGGAAGAAATAAAACTGTCCCTGTCTATGGCCAATACATCTATGTAGAAAGTCCCAAGGAATTCAAAAAGCACTTCAAGAATAAGTGGGTTTAGGGCAGAGGGGTTGTGGCTTGTTGGTAAAACGCTCGCCTCGCACGTGTGAGGCACCGGGTTCGATCCTCAGCACTACATAAAAATAAATAAAAGTATTGTGTCCATCTACAACTTAAAAAAAAAAGAATAAGTGGGTTTAGCAAGGTTGCAGGACCTGGTTAGCAAACAAATGTCTCATTCCTAAACCCTGGTGATGTCCAGTTGGAAATTTAAATTAAAATATATAACTTATAACAGCTTCAAAAGATGAAATTCTTGCTGATACCTGACATTCTAATCCAGAGATGAAGCTGGGTGCAGTGGCACACACCCATAATCCTAGTGGCAGGGAGGCTAAGGAAGGAGGATGGAGAGTCCAAAGCCAGCCTCCTCAAAAAGCAAGGAGCTAAGCAACTCAGTGAGGCCCTGTCTCTAAATAAAATACGAAATAGGGCTGGATGTGCTCAGTGGTCGAGGGCCCTGAGTTCAATCCCTATTACCTACCCCCTCGAACAAAGAAACCAAGATGAATGAAAATAAGGGGACCATAAACTCTCGAGTGCCCGCCCCGCTAAGCCCACACTTATGAGAGTTCAGGAATCAGGAAAAGTAACGTCCTTCTCACCTACAGAGGGCTTTTATTGTTCACAGTCAATAAATCACTTGAAAAAATGCAGTGCTTAGGTATAACTCTAACAATGCGGTCACAGTAAAAACTACACAACATTGATGACAGAAATCCAATCTCTCTTCCTTTCTCACGCGCACACCCACACACACACTCTCTCCCTCTCTCCCTCTCTGTTCATGGATTGGGAGACTTAATTTAGTAAATATATCGAATCTCAACAAATTGACCTATAGAGTTAACAAAAGACCAGTCACAACCTCTGTAGAACTTTTGTAGATATAGGTAAGCTGATTGCAAAATTTTATATAAAGGAACTAGAATAAAACATTTTAAAATGAAGAATGTTGTCTCAAAATAAAAAAAAATAAAAAGGGCTGGAGATGTGGCTCAGTGGTTAAGCACCCTGGGTTCAATCCCCGGCACACACACACAAAATAATACTATTTTGAATAAATCATAAAATCATACTGATTTTCAGACTTCTTATAAAATTACAACAATCAAAATGGTGTGTTAGTGATGTAGGGATAGAAGGCCACATAGGCCAACAGAAGAGATGGGCACAGTATGGACAGTGGAATATGCAGACACAACAGCTACACAGACACTGGAAGAGAAGACAGGCCAGAAACAGAGTGAGGTTAATTTTGACAAAAGTGTGAAAGCAATTCAATAGAGAAAGGGTACTCTTCTAAAAAAGAAAAACAGTGTTGGAACAACTGCAAAAAAATTATTGTATATGCAAAAAGAAACCTGGATATAAAACCTCCCACCTTATATAAACTCCAACTCAAAATGGACTGTGGATCTGAATACAATCTATAGAGCCTTGAGAAGACAGTGCAGAAGGCTGGCCTGAACTTGGGTTGGCAATGAGTCAGACTCGACACCCAAAGTGCAATAAAAAATGCTTTTGATACTTGGATTTCACCGTTAAAAACTTTTGCCAGATACTGCTAAGAGAATAAAAAGGCAAGTTATAGACGAGAAGAAAATACTTGCTGGTCCGATTACCTGACCAAGACTTGTATCTGGGATATAAAGAACTTGTAAACTCAACAGTAAGAAAACCAGCAATCCCATTGTAAAGTGCTCAGAGACACAGAGAGACATTGCTCCACAGAGGGTTCAGGGGTGAGAAGGCAACACAAAAAGGCATGTTGCGCGTCATGGAGCCCTGGGGAAACACAGACGGGCACTCTGCCGAGAGAACGCTCCTTACGCCCTAGAAGGGGGTGCGCAAAGTAAAAAAAACCACAGGGGCGCAGCCACCAGAATCCCCACCCGCTGCTGGTGAGCGTGCAAAGGGGAGTTCAGTGGTTTATTATAAAGTTAAACGTACACTTACCGTGTGACCCAGCCATCCCACTCCTGGGTATTTACCCTAGAGAAATGAAAACTCATGTCCACACACGACCCCGAACACGACACACAGCAACACTACTCATTTATTGCCAAAAACTGGCAAATGACCCAAATGTCCTTCAATGAATGGAGAATCACACTGTGGTTCATTCAGAATGTAAAACAAAGAGAAGGGCACAGAGAGGAAACAGCAGTGGACACACGAAACCTGGACCCCCGCGAGGCACTGCACTGACAACGCGACGTGTGGCTCCTCACACCCCCTGACAGCTGCACTGCAGGACGATGCCATCCAGGTGACAATCTCAAAGACCACACGACAGTAACTGAGCACAGATGGTGGCTGCCTGGGGTTGGGGACGAGGGGAGTGGGCTACAAGGGAGCAACACGAGGGATGGACATTTTGAGGGTCTCCACCCTGGCTGGGGGACGAGTGCACAGGTTTGAGTGGGGGCTGACATTCACAGGCACAACGAGCAACTTTACTCAATAGCTAAAAAGCAAATTAAAGGAACAAACCAGACGGGCTGGGGTGCGGCTCAGTGGCAGAGCATCGGCCCAGCATGCTCGAGGCCCTGGTCCCCCCAGCGCTGAAAGCAAACGAAGCCAGGCACCAGACAGTGGACCAGAACCCAACCCAGGCCCTCCAAACCAAGGCAGCACCTGGAGAACCACCCCGCACGCTCTCCGCGCCCTGGAAAACAACACCCTTTGGACATCCAACATGAGGTCCGAGGAGTGACAATGACAGTCCTTCAGGGAGGAGGTCATTCTGATGGCAGGAACTGTAGCTTTTAACTTTTTACACTTTCTTTCTTTTAAACAACCTGCACGTACTGAGTGTGAGAACAAGTGCTCTCTGGCTAACGCAACCTGTTTCCTGAGCAGCAGGCTCAACACTGCTGATGCCGATTATCACAACCTCCGTGTTTCTTAGGGCTTTGCCATTATTAAAATTAAAATTAGTTTTTTCCTATGATGGAGCACTCAACAACATTTTTTTAAAAGCAAGGAAGAAACCTGGGGTCGTGGCTTAGCGGTAGAGCACTCGCCTAGCACATGCGAGGCCCTGGGTTCGAGCCTCAGCACCACATAAAAATAAACACATAAAAATACTGCGTCCAACTAAAAAAAATCCTTAAAAAAAAAAAAAAAAAGCAAGAAAGAAGGAAGCCTACCAAGAGGTTCACAGACTCGATGACGTCCAAGAACACCTCATTCTTCCGGTACTTGATACCTTCAGACCGCCAAGACACTGCATTGGTGACGGTGGCTGGGGGCCGCGGGGCCCCTGTTTCCAGCTTGTGGCCTTCCTGAGTGATGTACCTGTGGGGCCAGAGCACGGAAGCTTCAGGTGGCCATCTGGGCAGGGCAGGGTGGAAGCAGGAGGTCCTGAGCCACATGGAAGCCCCTCCCTGGCGTGGGCTCCAGGACAGGACCCCCTGAGTGCTGTCCAGCAGGCTGACAGAATCCAGCGACAAACAACCAATAGCACTTATTTCGGGGAGCAAGGAGACAGTGTTTCGGGGATGTGTGTTCAAGTGCATGCATGCGTGACTGACTGCAGGGCTGCGGGGCCCAGGGCCTGGTGCATGCTGGGTGAGCTCGCTACCACTGAGCTAAGGCCCAGCCCTTTGTAAAAACTTTTTATTTTGAGACAGGGTCTCGCTAAGGGGCTGAGGCCAGCTTTGAACACACAATCCTTGCACCTCAGCCTCCCGAGTAGCTGGGTTTAGAGGCTTGCCACCGCACCCAGCAGAAGAAGAGCCTATGAAATGGACATGTGAGCAGAACTGAGCCCTGCGGGGGCACCCTGGTGACTGATCCCACCTGGAGAGCAACAGGTGCAGTGGTTGGGAACACAGGCTTCTCTGGGTGTCCCCTAGCTTCCTATGAAAAGAAGACTGGTGCCCGGGACTGTGGACTGAGAGGATGGAAAGTGCTCTCCACAACATCCGGCCCAGTAAGTGCTGCACCCACACTGACTGGTTTTTTGATGGAAAAAACTCCAAAGAAGAAAGACTCTGTCACAGCCCGTTGTGCAAATGAAACATAAGCCAGCAACTTCCCGAGAGCAAGGGATTCAGGGCGTTTATGTGACTACAACAGGAAATGATGTTCATGTTATGAGAGATGTTGTGGAGAAAGGACCCTAAGCCACCCAGAACAGCTCAATCTAAAACCCATGTCCACACTGGGCGCGGTGGCGCACGCCTGTAATCCCAAAGGCTTGGGAGGCTGAGGCAGGAGGATCCCGAGTTCAAAGCCAGCCTCAGCAAATTAGCGAGGCTCTAAGCAACTCAGTGAGACCCTGTCTCTGAATATAAAATGAAAAGTGCTGGGGACGAGGGTCAGTGTTAAGCACCTTGGGTTCAATCCCCAGTAACAAATAAATAAGGCTCAGGTCCAGCTGGAGATGGGAGGGTGAGGGGGACAGCAGGGATATACATTTGCTTCTCCCACTTGCAAACCTGAGGACATGATGTCATGACATGGCCCCACCTGACCCATGGTGCCCTCCCCACCCACTCACTCCTGCAAGATTTTGCTGTCCGTGGTCTGGGGGTAGCCAAAGTCCATGAGCTCATCCAGCAGCTCGTAGATAATGACGAAGTTGTCCCGGATGCTCTCCTCCTCCAGCTCCTTGAAGTACTCGGAGAACACCTGTGGTGTCGGGTGGGGGTGGGAGGAGCGACGGGGTGAAGGGGCTGCACACTCCTCCACCTCCAGGCAGAGCCAACAGCCCTGCGCACACATCCCAGGCTTGGTGACGTGCTCTGCAGCACTCGGCCTGGAGAAGGCAGGCAGGACAGCGCTGGCTGTCTGTGAGGGGGGAACCAGCAGGGCTTGGGCACACGCCCTCCAACATCTGACCAGAAGCCCTGGATCCAACCCACAGTTCCATTCTCCTCCCTCCTAGATCCACACCCCCCCGACGGGCCTGTGGCGTCCCCAGAGCCTCTCTTTAATTGTGCTGACACCTGGCATGTGTCAGCCACCCCCCAAGGTGGGCCCCAAGCAACTGGGCCTTGAAAAGTCTAAGCAGAGCCTGGGACGACCCACCTCCCCAACCCAACTGCCAGCTGGTCCTCCATCATTCCTCCCGGCTCAGGGCTCGCCCCTGTCCCAGCCCCACCTCCTCTGTCCACTTCCTGACCTCACCAGGGGGGAAATTACAAAGGCCACAGAACCCCAAGTGCAAGAAGGCAGGGTGCCCCTTCCCACTTCCAGAGTTCTGGCTTCAGAACTCCCTAGGGATGGCCACAAACGGGGACGCGAGAGCAGAGTCACTCCCCAGCCCCTGAAGGACGCTCACCTGCACCACCTTGTAAAGAAAGGAGAACACCAGAGACACGCATGCGTTCTTCTTGGAGGTGGCGACCACTGCACGGAGCCTGGTTAAGGAGCGTTCCCACGCGGCTCTGCCCACAGGCCCTGCCTCTCGCGTCCAGTCACACCACCTGCCATCTACTTGTGGCAAGGGGGGTTAGCAGCCCGGGGCTCCAGCCAGGCCTGGGACACAGCAGTTACCAGCCCCCAGGGAGCACTTGAGGACACAGAGAATCACAGAGATGACAAGGGGCCTGGGTGAAGTGGCCTGGGGTGGCCTCTTCCAAGAAGAGAAACCAGGACAGGACCGACCAGTCCTGCTCCTCCAAAGATGGGTCAGGTTCCCGGCCAGGACCCCTGGGACACGGCTGGGGCCAATTCTGCCGCTAGCTCTTGCCGGCTTTGGCAATGGGAGTGGCCCCTGAAGCGGATCTTTTTAACGTAACCTCAACGTCCCTCCCTGTTTAATGGGGGCCTGAGTGCAGACTTGCTGTGTAAGGTGCCTGGCCCAGATTCCCCTCCTGCAGGAACCAGCCCCTGCCTCCACAGGGCCAGCAGGTGCTGGGCACTTCCTGTTCCTCTTTCCTGAATGGGTCTGGAGCCACCAGGGAGGTTGGTCCCTCTAAGGCCTGTATGTGGCACCACAGAAATCCCTGTCCGTGACATGCCTGAGCTAGGTGGCTTGTGTGCCAAGCATGAGCTCTGGGATGGAGGGAGGGCGGGCAGGGGCCACGTCCACCTCACTTCCACCCTCCCCCGCACAGCACAGAGGTCAGGAAATGGGCGCCGTGGAGAGAGAGGAGGGCAGGCCCTTCCTGCAGCCCAGCAACAGGCCTCCCGGAGACACAGGGAGGGGGCAGTGGTGACTTTCCTGGCCTTCAGAGTCGGGTTCATTCTGGAAACTGTCACCAGACGATAAAGTTGGGGACCAGGCTAGGGTGGGAGGATGTCCACTCGCCCAGAGGGGTGAGCCCTCACTGTCTCTTCCTTAGCTGTCCCTGTGTGGAATGTGGGGATCCAGAGAGACACTGGTCTGATGGCTGCTGCTGAGCTCGCATCAGTGCCTGGCCCCTCCCCACACCTGGGTGTGTGCGGCCCAGACCCAGGTGGCTTCAGAGAACGGTCAACTCCCTGAGTTACAGACTGCCCAGAGGCTCTCCAGAGCCGTCTTGGCCTGCTGGAGAAGGGCGAAGTCTAAGCAGAGGCCAGAGGAGGGCCACCCCCTCCCACCGCAGATGAGCCCCGCACCAGCAGGCTGGCCTCCCGGCAGTGCAGAGTGGAGGAAGGTGGCAGGGAGGCCGGAGGCCACGGTCCCAAGGCTCTGGGCATGCGGTGGCCCATGGAGCGCGCCTGCATGGCAAGTTCCCACGTCCCTGCAAACACAGTGGGGCCGTGTGTGCACCAGCTCACCCGCCCCGGCCCTCGGAGGGGGCTGCTGCTCCCTTGCACTGTGGGAGGAGGGGACGGCCTCTGCCACTTCAGCTGCTGTGGGGGCCCAGACGGGCTGGCTTCGGCACAGCCGAGCCTTGCCACAGCAGTGTGGGTACCAGAGGTGCTTGGAGACCTGGTCCAAGAAGCAGGATGGCCAGCTGGGCCCCATGGGCAGTCTGGCTTGGCCGGAGGCAGGGAGGAGACTCCATGATCTGAGCAAACCTCTCCCCATCTCTGTAGCTCGCTGCCCTCTGTGGTGCAGGCCAACTCCCCTCCCATGTGGACACTGGCCTGGCCTCTTCCGCATCTCCTCGTGGCCACTGCTCTTCCCTAAAAGGATGCACTCAGCAGCCAGAAATGCAGATGTGCCTGAAGCCCTCCCAGGAGTTGCCACCACCTTTGGGTGACATTCCTCTAGACCCGGCTGCAGAGCCGCTGACCACGCCGGCCTTGCTCCTGCTCCGCACCCCCAGCTCCAGCTGCAGCCCCTCGCAGGAGCTTCACCTGGGCCCAGTGTTCCTTATGCCCCCTGCCCTGCGTGCTGGCCTTCCTACAGGTCTCTTCCAGGATGTCACCTCCTTTCCTGGGCCCCCTCCTGCCCCCTCCTCCCCACCCATCACCTGTCATGCTGTGTTCTTAGTCTATCTCCTTGGGCAGCAGGGAGCTCTGGAAGGACAGGGCTGTGTACCCTGCACGGTACTGGACCGGCCCTGGGGGCATGCGTGTGTAGGCAACACACACGTGTCGACACACACACTCCCATGTTCACACAGGACTGCAGGGAAGGGATACGATACAGGTTGTTGTGTTTGATCCACATGAAGCGGACACCCCCGTGGGCCAGGATGGGGGACAGCATGCCCTCCTCCTCCTTCTCCATCAGGATGGGCATGAAGTGCTCCACCTCCGACATGTCCACGTCGCCACGGTAGTTCCGACAGATGAGCACCTGGGGTGGGGGAGGAAGAGGACAGACAGGAGCTTTCATCTGGGGTGCTGCAGTCTGGGCCCTGAGGCAGGGGCGAGATGTGCCAGCTGTCCTGTCCTCCTGGGGACAGGAACTAGACCAGAGGCCACTTCCCCCTCCAGGTGAACGTGAGGACGCCCCCACTGACTGTGGTTCTTGGCAAGGAGAGGGCTCTGGAGGGAAGGCCCAGGTCTGAAGCGCTGGCTCAGAGACACCAGGCCACGCAGCTCCCTGCACGGGCCCTCACGGAGGCGTCCCGCGCCAACACAACTTGCTCTCCTGCCCGTGTCGGGATCCTGTTTGCTACTGAAGGTTCAGTTTACTAGATCACACCTGCAGCCCGACCAGGAGAGCCCCTCTCCTCTCCCACCTATGGATCAGGACCCTCTGCCCACTTGTGGCGGAGCTGAAAAACGGAGCAAGCACGATGGGAAGTCTGACAGTGTCTCGAAAAGTCAAGCCACAGTTACCGCAGGAGCCGCCTTCCTGTAGGTGTCCACCCCAGAGAAACGGGACTGCGGGTTGGAGCACGCCTGCAGCAGCTCTGCACTAGACAGACCTGGAGGCCACGGCCTTCAGCAGCGGAACAGAGGGAAGACTCGGCCCATGCGCACCGCAGACAGCCAGCAGCCACAGAAAGGAACACACCACAGTCACCCCCTGTATCTGCAGGGGACTGGTCCCAGGGCCTGCCCCACCAGCACACCAGAATCTGCTCCAGCCCCTCGTGTCAAGCGGCCCAGCACCCGCATGGAACCTCCACCCAGCCGCGGTAGACTCCGGCCCGTTTCCTGATGGGTCACAGCACCTAAGACAACACGCAGGCTACGTAAACAGTTGTCACACCATATTGTTTAGGGAATAATGACAAGAAAAAGTCTGTACATGTTCAGTGTGGGTAAATTTTGGGGGGAGCGGGTACCAGAGATGAACCAGGGGACTTAACCACGGAGCCCCACCCCAGCCCTTTCTTGTCTTATTTGTAGACAGGTTTTGCCGAGTTGCTTAGGGCCTCGTGGCTGCTGAGGCTGCTCCGCCTCCCAAGCTGCTGGGATGACTGACAAGCCCCACGCCCCTGGCCTTTTTCAGATACTTTTGGTCCATGTTAGGGTAAACCCAGGGGTGTGGAGCCTGAGGACTTGGCGGGCCAGCTGTCCTGTACCCACACAGAGGGACTTCAGAATCTCCGCACTGGAAAGGAACCAGACAGGAGGCAGAGCCGGCGCGGCTGCACTTACACATAAACTTCTTGAAAACACATCAGTGGCTGCTGGGGACAGTGCTGGACAGCAAAGGGGCGAAAGGGCGCTTCGGAGTGCTGGGCTGTGTGGCTCTTTTCCCAGGCTGTACACGTGACTGATCTCATCAAACGCACACTGAACTCAGTGCAGCTGACACATGCAGATGACCCCTGGCTGGAGGATGCGAAGCGAAGAGGCTCCTGCTGGGCCAGCCTGGGCTAGTTTGGAGCTGCTGAGCTCTGGGGGCCAAGCCACGGCGCAGCCCCCATGCCGGGAACTGCCACCTCAGGAAACACAGTCTTCAAAGCTTCCAGCCAGGAGAGGGCAGGAGAGGGAGAGGGGTGCCTCTCCTGGTCTCTTTTGTGGCTTCTGGGAAAAGGCCCTGTGGGGGAGCTCGTGGGCCTTGGCCCGGCCGGGGGACTCCCACCTGTCCTCCTGGCCATCACCCTAAGGCAGGCCCGTGGTCGTCAGAGACAGACGGGATGGCCTTCAGGGTGAAGCTGCCTGACTGAGGTCACACGGCGAGTGAAGCAGTCAGTGCCTCACCCCAGCCCCAGCGGGCTCCAGGGCCACCTCTGCTGCTGAATGCCGCTTCCCTGGTTTCTCATGGTCCACTTTCTTCTCCAGGGATCCAGAGTCTGGGGGATGCTGGCTGGACAGGGGCCTCTGGGTCCCCAGAGTGCTCAAAGGAAAGAGCAGGGCACAGTTTGCTTCCCCTGCCTCCCCCCCAGGGCTGCCCAGGTGCTCACGCGCTGGCGGGCACAGCGGCACACGCCTGTCGTCCCAGCTACTTGGGAGGCTGCGGCAGGAGGACAGCAAGTTCGAAGCCAGCCCAGGCAACTTGGGGAGATCCTGCCTCAAAATAACAAAAAGGACGGGGTAGAGTGCTCCTGTTCAATCCCTAGTACCACAGCGAACAAAAACCAAAATTTAAAAAATGTATGCATTCTGTGCCCCTGTAAGGTGGCACTGTGCTGCGCCTGGGGGCATGGCGGTAGCCAAGGCATAGGCATTTGCTTAGGGGGCACTGGGGGCCTTCCCGAGGGCATGACCTTCGAATCAAGGCCTGAAGGGACAGGAGAGACGGGGACCAAGCATGGCTGAAGGTGTGGGGTGGGGACAGCCCATGGGGGTCTGGGAAGAGTGGGCAGGCCGAGTGACGACCGCCTCAGAGCTGGGGCTGTGGGGCCAGAGGAGAGGTAAAGGCAGGAGGGAGCAACACTTAAGGTGACAGCCCCCTCCTTGCTGTCACCCTTGTCCCCAACCCAGGTCCTTCCTCACAAAATGCGACAGGGCTCTCCTCAACAGAAGCCAGAGTGAGTCTCTCTTCCTGCTGAAACTGACACCTACCCCAGCCTCCCTGGTACTGAGAATGAAGCCTCCGTCCATTACCATGGCTCACAGTACCTGCGGGTTGGGCTCCTCGCAGCCCCTAACGCCCCACAGTCCCACCCCCGGCTCTCGGAGTGATGCACATCTGCTCCTCCTCGGGCCCTGTGCACTTGCAGCCCCCTCTGCCGAGAAAGGCCTGACCTCCTCTATTCTCAAGCCTCAGCTCGGAAGGCATCTCCTCCAGGTCCTGCCTGCCTGCCCTGGCTGACAGAGCGTGTCCCATCCTTCCACCCTGGCCCCATTGTCCTCAGTGCCCATCTTGCACATTGCATCATATGTTTATTTGCACCTTCCTTTAATGTCTGACATTCCCAGGGACCAGGAGCCTCCTGTCTCCTTCACGGCTGTGTCTCAGCACCCAGGGTCCTGCCTATAGTAGATGCTCAGTAAACATGCATGGAGTCAACATGGGATGAGGAGGGGTCAGAACAATGTCTTTCTAGTGGGGACAACTGGATGGATGGATGAACGGTTGTGCCGCTTAGTGAGGCGGACCCAGAGCAAATCTGGGAGGTGACAGGATGTTCATTTTGGGAAATGCCCAGTGTGCAGTGGCTGGGATTTCCACGGTGTCCTGGAGGCCAACAGGCCTCAGAGTCAACAGAGATGGACAGTGATGGTCAGAGAGGCAGAGGTGAGTGCAGGACTGCAGTACAACTGAGAGCCACTGGCACTGCCATAAATTAAAGCCCACCTACCAAGAGGGACAGCATGGGGAGCACACTGAGGCCTGAGAGCAGCCAGCTGTGCGGGAGGGGCGGACAGCAAAAGGAACATCAAGAGTGTGACATCCTTAAAGTTGGGGGAGGTGCTGATGACTGGTGGCTAGTGGCGTCAGCTGCTGCTAAGAAGCAAGAGATGCAGAAGTGTCCAGGGAGGGCTTGCTACAAGCGATGTGGCCACACTGGTCTCCTCAGGGATCCGAGGTTCTGCTTGGCAGGCAGACACGTGGTCCTGAGCTCCTCGATTATTTTTGATTCAGTGCAGTCTGCTCAGGAGGCCGACTTTTGGAACTGGAGGTCCCCAGGGGGTGGAATAAAGGGCGTCTTGGTTGCAGACGGAGGGAAGGGGGCATCTTGGTTGCAGAGGGAGGGAGGGGAGCTTCCCAGGGGCAAGTCTGATCATGCTTCTCCCAGGCCACAATCTCCTCATTATGACTCCTTCCTCCTGGAATTGAAGGGGTCCCTTCAGTGCCCTTCTCCAATTGGGACATTCTCAACACCATTCTCAACACCTGGTGCCATCCTCCAGGCTCTGGCATTAACAAAACTTCTGATTCGCCAGCCCACGTGGGCTGCCCGTCACCTTCTGTACTCACTGGGACACCTCTTCTCCACCTGACCACTAGTTGGTCACCTCAAAACCAGCTCCGGCACTAACTTCTGCCAGGGAGCCTTTTGTAACTCCTCTGACAGCCAAATACCAGGTTGAGCAACTGCATCACCGGGGCCTTGTTCCTGCCTGTAGCTGCCTGGATCCGTAACCTCTTTGCTTCCACGCGCCTCCCCTGCCAGACCGAGGGCTTGTGGAACCTAATGCGAACTGTGGGCCACAGCAGGGCCAAGCCTCCCACATTTCCACACAATAACCCCATAAAGGTCTCTTCCAACCAGTGAGGAACTAAGGCCCAGAGAAGATAATGCATTTGTCAGAAGTCACACAGCTGCACCGCGGAGATGGGTTTTGCACTCAGCCTAGCTCCATAGAGTTGGCACAGGACTGGGTGCGTGCCAGGCACTCAGGAAACGTTTGCTGAAGAAACAAGCAAGCTGAGACAGGCATTCTGCGGCATCTCTGGAGATGTGGTGGCCAGGATGGAAGAACATATGCCCCCAGGACTAGGGAGCACTGTACCCACCCACCCGCTGGTGCACCTCTAAGAAGGGCATCCTCCCTGTTTCTGAGAAGGCTGGGGGAAGAAGCACTGGGACCCACCAGTTGTTGCCTTTGGTGGCACCCAAGGCAGGCACTCACTCAAGGGACTTGAGGAAAGTTCTGGGGGTGGGGCAGGAAGGGGCAGCCACCTCACCTCTTCAGCCTCAACTTCTGAGCCAACTCCTGTCCACCTCGCCTAGGACCCAACACCCACGCTTCTGTCACCCATGAATGCGGGGCTTGTTTAACACTGCTGGGCCAGCTCCTGCTGCTCCCACATGCAAGAGGCCGGGCGGCCCTGTCTTCCACCTGGGGTGGGCTTGGAGGGCAACAGCCCACTTCTGAAGGCCTGAACATTTTTTTTCTGTAAGAGCTTCTCTTGTCTGACAACCCTAGGGAAGATGCCTGGTCCTACTTATGCCAACTCCCTCAGTCTCAGTCCCCTTTGTCAGTCTCCTTTGTCACTCCCCCAGGGAAGCCCTCTCTGACCCCTCAGCTGAGGCTCTCTATTATATGCTCATTGCTCCCCCACTGTGATCGACATTTACTTGTGCTTATTTGTATTTGGAGATTGGTGTCCATCTCCCTCACCAGACTGTCAGTTCATGGGACAGGGACTGACTGACTGTGCTCCCCCCAAAATGGCCCACCACTTAGAAGCATGCCTGGAGCTTAGTAGACGCTCTGCAAATATCACTGAATGACAGATGACTCCAAGTGGAACTTGGAGACCTGCTACTTCTCTGTGACCGGTTTGACCTTGGGCAGGCTGCTTCACCTCTTTGTGCCTCAGTTTTTCCTCCTAAAATGCCACTCCCCCCACTCACCTCCCTAACCCTCGTAATTAAATGTCACGATGATGAACGGAGAGAAACTGCTACAGGGAGAATACGCAGGTTAAACAGAAGCTGCTGCGCCCACAGAAGGCGGGATTGGCCCGAGGGCACAGAGTCCCGCCACGCCCAGTTACCTCGGTCAAGGGTCGCACGGCCCCTCGGCGCTTGACCGGACTCTGAGGGCGGCTGCAGCCCGTCCTCCCCAAGTTGGGGTGGGGGGGGGCTTCCCAAGGAGGCCCAAGCCCCGGACTCAGGACTGAACGGAAGGGGATGAGGCCACCGGTTACCTGGCAACGGCGGCGGTGGCAGCCCACCGCGTTACCTAGCAACAGACCAGTGATTGTGGAGTGAAGACCACCGCCCAGTTACCTAGCAACAGGGCGGGGCCCTTCAGGTGAGGCCTATCGACCTCCACGCTTAATGCCAGGGTGGGGCTCCCTGGCCGGTTACCTAGCAACAGGGTGGGTCCCCGAGGGACGAGGGCCCCACTGGTTGCCTGGCAACGGGGAGGGTGGGGAGCCTTCAGTACCTTGCCCTTCAAGTCCAGCACGTAGACGGCGCTGGCGGACATGGCGACTGCGGGAAGCCTCGGCAGCGCCGAGGGCGGCTGCAACGGCAGAGACTGCCGGGCGTTGAGTAAGGCCAGACGCGCCCCGCGACAGTTCCTCTCCACTTCCGGTTCGGAGAGCCGCGCGCGGACCGTTATATCCGGTCGGGAGGAGGTACCAGGATGCGCAGGCGCGGGACAGAGTTTGCGCAGACGCAGTACATCCTATACGACCTTATTTCTCGCCTCGGTCTCAAACACGCCGGAAGCAAATGGCAGGGGGCGGGGCCAAGAAGGTTGACTAAACCTGAGCCCTCGGGTAGCCCAGCTGCCGGGAATACCTGGCTGCTGGAAACCCCGAGCTGGGGTCCAAATTAGGCGACAGAGGCTAGTGATGGAACCAACGTGGGGCCAGCCTTAGAGAGCCTGCAGTCTGATCGGGAAGTCAGGGAAACAAATATAGTAATGGACTGCGATAAGCCCTAAGGGGAGGGGCGGTGATGACGTGGAAGTCAAATAAACTCTCTGAATGGCAATTACATATTACAGTTATTGCGTGTCACCTGTGTCAACCTTTATCAGTGAAGAAGCGTGCCAGTTTATTGCCTGGAATGCTCTCGTGAAAACCACGCCCCACTTAGCGTGGGCAAAAGGCATGGTTGATTTTTGTAGTTGTTGTTGGTCATGCAAATTGTGGCTAATTATTCCATTGGATTATATGTAGTTAACTTTTTTTTTTCCTGGCAGTGCTGGGGATGGAACGAAGGTCTTAAGGCATGCTAGGTGAGCCAAGTTTGCTTTTATGAATGCTTGGCCTGTGGAGAAATTCCTGCATTCTGTCCCATTGAGCCATCACCACACTCAGGGCATCCAAAAGGGCGTCTCACAGCATTTACTCAGTCTGCCTCTCTCTCACATATCTCTATCTTGCCTCTTATCTGTTTAGCATCTGGAAAGAGGGTTTTGGCAACTCTGTGGTTATATAACTTCTGCTTAGGATAGAGATATAATTGCAGAATATAATTGAGAAATATGGAATATTCGAAGGCTACTAAGCGAATTCTAGGTTGGAAGCTTTTTTGCGGTGCCCTGGAAGCATTCTTGCACAAAGCACAGAGCAAGCAGCCAAGAAGGGCTTCTTTTTTTTTTGTACTGGGGATTGAACTCAGGGGGACTCGATCACTGAGCCACATCTCCATCCCTATTTTGTATTTTATTTACAGACAGGGTCTCACTGAGTTGCTTAGCGCCTCCCCAAATTGCTGAGGCTGGCTTTGAACTCACCGTCTTCCTGCCTCAGCCTCCCAAGCTTCTGGGATTACAGGCGTGCGCCACCAAGCTCGGCCAAGAAGAGCTTTTGAAACCAATTGTCTGATGGATACACTCTAGATGGACTGTGATCACACATCAGGTTGGTGACTACTACTGAAGAAGAAATCCGTGGTTCAGAAAGAAGTGCCTGTGACTGATGCCATGTGTAAGCCCTGTTTATAGCTTCATACTATGTCCAAATTATTGCATTTAGAAAACGTGTGTATTTTCAGATTACTTACTTACAGTTTTGACATGTTCACTGAAGAAAAAGAAATGTCAAAACTGTAAGTAAGGCAAGAGGGCTGGGGATGTGGCTCAAGCGGTAGCGCGCTTGCCTGGCATGCGTGCGGCCCAGATTCGATCCTCAGCACCACATACAAACAAAGATGTTGTGTCCACTGAAAACTAAAAAATATTAAAAAATTCTCTTTCTTTAAAAAAAAAAAAAAACAACTGCAAGGCAAGAAGAAAACCAGCAAGAGAGGTGAGGTCTCACTCAATGGAACATTTCTGGCTCGCTGTAGGTATTCTGAATTTTGTGTTGAGTCCAATGTAGTAAACACTGTCTTTACACATAAACTATTAGTAACCCTCTTCTCTACATGGGGGAATTCAGGTCACATCTGAATTTCAACCTTGGCTTTTACATTTATTATATATGCCAGATATATAAGTATCAGGAAAGACCATACCTATCGTGTAGACCAGTGTTTCTCAAACTTTGCTGCATATCGGGGTCACCCGGGGAGCTCTGAAAAATTCATGACCTAACCCCACCCCAGACCATGGATTCCAGACATTTGTGGTTCTTAATGCTCCCCAGGATGTCCATCACCACACTCAGGGCAACGCTAACGTGCAGAATTTGAGAACCACCGTGATGGACTGTGACAACAAACCAGACCTCCCGGTGCTCAGACCCTGCATTTGGCTACGACTTGCTGACTAATAGCTGCATGGAGAAAAACCCTGGAGGAGGACAAGCCTTCCAGGACTTCCCGGCCCTCGGGCTAGCCAGTGCAGCCATACCAGTGAAATAAACCACGTCACAAGAACCATCCAACAGAGCTGTTCACCCACAGAACTGAGATCACGAATGTTTTAAGCCGCTGTTTTGCAGGAGCTCAATGTGCGGACACTTAGAAGATTCATCTTACCACCTCATGGACAAAGGTTTTCACAGCACACAATGGATCCAGGCTAATGGGCAGGGCCCGAGACCAACTCTTCTCCAGGCATTGCAAGTCACTGATGAAAGGAGCCAGTCAGTGCTAATGGGACTCCAGGCTGCACACCCTTAGTTCAAATGCTCTAAAATACAAAACTCTGTGAGCTCTGACATCAAGTGGAAAATTCCACATCATGAAACCGTTTCATGCACAAAATTGTTAGAAATAGGGCCGGGGTTGCAGCTCAGTGGCAGAGCGCTTGCTTCACACTCGTGAGGCACTGTTGGATCGTCAGCACCACATAAAAAATGAAATATGTTGTGTCCATGTAAAACTAAAAAAATATGTTTAAAAAATTGTTAGAAATATTTTAAATTACCCTTAGGCTACACATATAGGGTGTATATGAAACAATGAATTGTGTTAGATACTGAAGATACTTCATTATGTTTATGCAAATATCCCCAAATCCCAAAAATTCTGTTCCTAGGCATTTGGAATAAGGGACACCCAACCTGCGTGTCCTCTTTCTTAGATACAAACCACAGGTAGAAACCAATGTGTGTTCTACTTTTTTCCATTGAGAGACAGTTTGCACCACACACATCCTTCAGGTGTGGCGCTTCTGTGGTAACCGATCTGTAATTGAGACCCTCAGACTTCCGTTTTAATAGCGGTTCTGCTTTATTCTGTGTTTACATGCTGCCATTTGATCCTCCTGTGGTGCACGCAGACCCTCCGAGCCTCGAGCTCTTCAGCCTTCGGACCTGGGCCCTGCTGCTCCTCTGCACCTGTCTCTCTGGGCTGGGCTCTGCCCTGGTAGGTCCCCCAAGAGGGTCCAAGGTCAGGAACCAGAGGCTCCATGTGACGTGCCGCCTCTGAATACACACGTGGAGCTCCGGGATGAGGGCTGTGTGCGAGACTGTGCCCGGATTCCATTAGAGAGAGCGCTGCGGCCAATCAGCAACGTCTGCCAAGGCAACACCGTCAGATGCGTCCAGAAAGCATTCACTGGGGGGAGAGACTGAAAATAGGCCACCAGCTTAAAAGGGGACAAGGCACACATTCATGTCCATCCCTGCCCTGGGTGGCTGCTCTGCTACCGGGCTGCATGGCATCAGGTGGCCGGGGAGGCATCCTGAAGGCCACAAGGCTGCACAGGGCTCCTTAGTGCCTGGGTGGGAAAATGTAAGTCCCAAGTCAGAGCAGCCCGGGTGGGTCTGCAGGGTCTGCGTGGTGCGGGCCAGGCCAGGTCAGCTTCTCGTCCTCTGCAGTCCAGCTCATCCAGGCAAAGACAGCTGGCTGGCCTCAGAGTGTCAGATGCCACTCTCAAAACTTTAACACGACACTCATACAGTGAGTCTGAGGTTAGCATCTGGATAAATCCAGAACTTTCCAATTCAAACTAAAATGGGTTTCCGTCAATGTGCTACCAAAAAGACCAAAATTAAATAAGAGGGCAGTCTTACTTTAATCAAGTTCCAGATTGAGGGGACACGGTTTTAAAAGCACTGTGTCAGCAGAAGAGGCATGGGTATAAAAGAATGTTTCCAGAAAACACCAAAGCAACCAAACAATCCTAACTTTGTCTTCTGCTGTCCCTCGATGCTCCTCCACAGCCAGGGCCGGGATGCTACTTGGTCCAGCTGACTTTGGGGATATCATAATGCTCTGTGAGGGTGTCCAGGTGCCTGTTGAAGTCCTAGGAAGCGAAGGAGAAGGTCTGCATCAGCACACGCCCAGCCAGGGCACTAGGGACACGTGGCACTGCCCAGCCCCACCTCTCCCATGTCCTGTCTCTGCCCAGCAAGCCCCTCCTCACACCCACCCTACAGGCCTTACAACCCCTGAACACGGGGCTCTCCCTGAAGGAGCCATGGGAGGTGCCATTCCTGTTGAGCAAACCTCTCCCCCACCAGCACTCCAATGCCTCCCGCAGCCTCTGGGCCAAGCTGGGACCCTAAACGGTTCAGTCTCCCCACACCAGGCACCTGACTCACCTCCACTCTCTGCTTGTGGGTTTTGGATGCTTTTTTCAGGATCCTCTCCATTTGCTGGAAGAGAAGAGACAGGGAGGTGACTCTGAATGCCCAACACGGCCCAGGCAGGAGGAGGATGGGACCCCAGCCAGCCTGGTCTCCCTTCTAGAACCGCTAGAGACCTCAGGATGCACACCTTGTCCCTCCCCTCAATCCACTCAGCCTGGTCCAACAGAGAACCTGGCTCGGTCACCTTTGGTCTTAGCTTCCTGAGTGGGAGGAAATGAACCAGCACCAACTGAGCATGAGCAGACTCTGCTGAAAGCTGGACGCGTGCTTCCTGCACCCTTGGGCAGTGGACAGCACTGCAGCTTGCAGAAGAGCAAGTCCCACATGGGGTTACAGGAAGGAGGGGAGAGAGGAGGGTAAAGGGCCCATCCTGAGTTCCAGCTGGAGTGCTGAGGGCTACAGGATCTGGGTCACAGGCACATACAACATGTCCTCACTCAGCTGTGGAAGCTATAGGGGCGCCAGGTGACATGCCAATGCTGGACATATATACTCGGGGCCCAGGACTGAGGGTTGTGAGGACCGTGCCAGCATTCATTATAAAGAATGCTAAAATCAATGAGCAAAGTCTGCCATGGCGATGCCCATCAGATGTGTCTGGAAAAGCAGTTCTAAGAGGAAGGTCGGCATGTTTCTTGATGACAAACATCCGCCTTCCTTCTCCATCCCTCCATACTGAGGGCTCTCAGTAGTCACCGGAGGGTTGCACTAGCCTCCCTTCCTAACTCCAGCCACAAAATCTCAGCCCTGCTTTTAACTACAACTACAGGTTACAGATTGAGGACAGACCTGCACTCACCAAAACCCTACAAGGAAGACTTTAGCCCTATTTAAGTGGATGGACACTTGACTAACCCAGAGCTACGCCACTAACAAACGGCAGACAGAGTCAGGGCACCAAGGTCTTGCCTGAGCTGTGTGTATTTTTTCTCTAATTTTTTAAGTTATAGATGGACACAATGCCTTGATTTTGTTTATATATTTTTATGCGGTGCTGAGGGTCAAATTCAGTGCCACACAAGTGCTAGGCAAGCGCTCTACCACTGAGCCACAACCCCAGCCCGCCACGTGTTTTTTGTATGGACCAAATTCTATCCAAGGGTAATCAGTTAACTCTCACCAGTGTCACTGTTTAGGTTCACACAGACCATGGATAGGACATCCCAGCCTCAGCACTAATTTGTTTCTCTTTTTGATAGCACTGACGATTGAACCTGGGGCCTCATGCATGCCAGGCAAGCACTCTACCACTGAGCCACATCCTCAGCCCTTTCCTATATTTTATTTTGGACAGGGCGTCTCAAAGTTGCCCAGGCTAGCCTTGAACTTGTGATCCTTCTGCTCAGCCTCCCGATTACACGCAGCACCCCTGAACCTGGCTCATCCTCAGAACCATTGGCATTTGAGGACAAATCATTTCACAGTGGACAGGGCACCGTTCTGTGATTGTAGGAAGTGCGATGGCCTCGCTGGTCCCCACCCACTAGATGTCCCCAGCACTCCCTCGGCAGACCCGTGCTGGGGGAGAGAACCTCTAGGAGCACTAACCCACACCGTTATTCCCTCTCCGGCATGATCCGCTAAGCCTGTCTGACCCTCCATTCCCTCGCCGCCCAGATCCATTCAGCGTTTAATACCAACAGAAACGACACACAGGGCCTTGTAATACTGCAAATCCGATTCTGCCCAACAAGGGCGTCATAGAAACGGGCCGTGGGGGCTCGGAGCTGAGCACAGCCAACCACCAACAGCTGACACCCAGTGAGCGCCCAGGGCCAGACCTAGTGCCAACGTCCCCGACCCCTCAGGACCAAGTGCTGTCCTGACACCTACTGATGAGGCTCGGGCAGAAGCGCAAGGCAAGCGAGTCACAGCGTGGGAAAGCCCGGCCCACGCCCTGCCCGGGGCGAGGGGAACCGCCTCCCCGGCCCTGAGTCCCCTTCGACCCTCGCCCCGTGCAGCTTCCAGCCCCCGATCCGCCCGAGCACCCGTCCCGGGGGCCGCAGGCCCAGCGCGGCGCCTCACCCGCTTCTCCTGCATCTTCTCGAAGGCCGCCTGGGCCGGCGTCCGCTTGTCCAGGCAGCGCCGCTTCTCCTCTTCGTTCTTCTTGCTTGTTCCCATGGCTTCCAGAAGTTTCGCCTTGTCCTTGTCCTTCTTTTTCTTCTTCCTGGGAGGGGAGACGGGAGGGAGACAGGACGGATCAGAGGGCCGGCGCCCGGGGCCCTGGGAATACTCTAGCGGAACAGAGGAACGGGTGCCACGGGCCTCACCGCTTGTTCACGCCGAGCTCTGCGACGCCTTTCAGCTTCAGGGGCCCTTTCTGGACCTGTTCGTAGGCCTCCATGGCTCCCGCCGGCAGTTCGGTGGGTAGACTGCCACACTTCCTATTTGTAAATGTTATTTCCGTCCCAACGCCCGCCTCACTTCTTCTTGATTGGCTGACGTGGTAGGCGCGCGGGCGTCCTTGGCGTGCAGACTGAGCCACATTTCCGGTCGCGGGCAAGGCGGAGAGTCAGGCGCGTGCCCGAGCCTCTCAGCTGCCACACTTCCGGTTTTGACGCCTACTTCCGCTTTCTCAGGCTGTAGCCCAGGTGTTCAAAACCCAACGCTTTGTTGTTTGCTTGTCGTTTGGATGCGTTTTCGCTCCCTGCCGCGTTTGAAAGACCCTGGACCTGATTTTGTAACCTATTCAGTACTCATTCATTTCCAAGCGTTTGATAAATAAAATAATAAACGAATTTTGAGTCATCAATATGTACGTTTAAAAATGCTTTCAGAATCCTTCATTTATTCTTCAAGTGACAAAAAATGCACATATTTATCGTGCACAACGCGATGTTTGGAAATTCACATACATTTGGAATGGCTCAATCAAGTTCCACTAATGTGCAATCTCATTATTTTGGGGGGAGAACACTTAAAATCTACTGTGAGAAAATTCCAAGAACTAATTATATTGCTGTTAACAATATTCAATATGTTATATGATAGAGCTCTTGAACTTATTCCTCCTAACTGAAATTTTTAATCTTTTGACCAACTTCTCCACAACCTCTCCCTCCTCCCGTGGTAACCACCGGTTCTACTTTCTACTTCTATAAGTTTATCTTTTCTTATTCTGAGATAAATGGGTGCACAAACTGATTAAGAAACAGTTATTTGGGCTGCTCAGAGTTGCAGCTCAGGAGACACAAATTTCAGACAGGCCGAAATGTGCTCTGGGGTCGCACAAGCAAGGTTTAAAGGCAAAAACCCCAGGTGGGGAGGAAAGTTACTTCTGCCATTTGTCAAGAATTCAGATTGGTGCAGGCAGGAAGCAAGCCTTGTAAGAAAGAGACTGGCTAATTTAATTTAAAGAATGTCGGTAAAGCAGTTTTCAGAAGGTGGAAAGGAGAAGGCAAGAATGAAGAAATAATGTCTTGGGAAAGGAAGGGACCTGGGGTGTGGAGGAGACCACCTGGTGGCTGTCTGTTGGACTGGAATGTTCCACTCCATTAGAACCATGCCATAGGTGTTCTTTTGAGCTGGGATTCTTGCGGCATGATGCGTTTGAGATTCCTCTGCGGTTGGGCGGAACAATTGTCCATTCATTTTTATTGCTGAGGCTTCTCCCACTGTGCAAATATTTTCCATTTGTTTATCCACTCACCTGTTGATGGATTCCTGGGTTGTTTCCAGTGTGCAGCGATAATGAGAAGAACTGCTGGGAACATCAACGTGGGCCTTTGTGTGGACATAAGCTTGTTGCAGCTCATGGGTTCATTCTTGAAGCAGAATTGCAGCAGGGTTTGGATTTCTCCAGAAAAAGATGTTTGATCTCAGCCACTCCGGCCCTGAGGCCTTAAGCACAGAAAAGAGTCACAGAGAGTGCTAAAAAAAAAAAAAAAAAAAAAAAAAAAAAAAATCTACTGGTGCCATGACACTGGGGACCCAGCAGTTGGTTTTTGTTTCCCAGTACCATGAGTCATTTGAGTAACAGAACTGCTATCATAACCCAGACACAATTCTATTTTCGTTTCCTTCCATCCTTTCAAGCATTTTTAAAACATGCGAGTCATCTTCTGGTCCTGGATAACATGCTATCAGGTCCCAAGACTCTGCTCTTATTTTGACATTATGTTAAGCAGTGAATAGGCCGTTGAATAACTGGAGCGTGCAGAACTGGATGCAGAGAACAGCAACCTGTCCCTCTGCAGGATCCGCCGCACTAGGGAAAGGGACTGGGAAGCACATGAGTTGCTCCTGTCCCCTCTCGTCACTATTAGCTGCTGTTTGTGTCCCTGGGGGTGTTTGAGGAAGGTGGAAGAGGAATAAGTAAGAGAGTAAGACAGTTCCTGGGGTTCCTTGGTTATAGATAGCTGCCTCCTTCCCTGTGGGTGCTTTTCTACCTGCTTTCTAGCACTTTCCTTGTTTGCATCTTGAATGTCCCTCAAAGGTCTTTGTGTAAAGTCCTGGTACCTGGGGTGGCACAATTGACGGGTTGTGAAACCTTGGAGAGGTGGGGACTTGTGGGAGGTTTTAGGTCATTGAGAAAATGCCCCTGCAGGGGATTATGGGACCCCAGACTCTCTTCTTTTTCTTGTTGCTTGCTAACCATGTGGTTTGGCTCTGCCATGTGCTCCCATGACAATGTGCTGCCTTGCTGCAGGCCCAAAATAATGGGTCAGTTGACCATAAACTGTAACTCTAAAACTAAGCCCAAATCAACCTTTTCTCTTTATAAATTGACTCTCTCAGGCATTTTATCACAGTGACAGAAAACTGACTAACAAACTCCTTCTCCCCTGAAAACTTGACCCTGGAGTATGCATCTTAATTTGTAGTGGTCCCTGACAGCTTCTCCCTCAGCCTCTGGGCAGCCAGCAGGCTCCACCAGCTTTGTTCTCTTGAGGTTTCCTCACCTTGCTGGGCAGTCATGTTGAGTGGGATCCAAGATGATGTCACACCAGCTCTGTCTCACCCGACTCCCATCTGGTGCTCGGGAAATTCTCACACAGGCTGGTCCCAACATGCCTGCAGCCACCTGGCTCTGCCATCACACCCAGGTCCTGCCCTCCAGACAGCCCTTTCACCCTCTCAAGCGTGGCTCTGACTGGATTCTCCAAGAATCAGGCCTTCTCAAAGCTGTCTTTGCTCAGCCTGGTGGTGGAAGGTAGCATCCTCCCCCTTATGCCCCAAGAACAGGGAGGAACTTACAACATGGCCACTTCACCCTCCAGGTGTCCCCTGATCTCTTTACCAGAGCTTCTGTCCTAGTCTCTGACCTCCATTTGGAAGGTTGCTCTGGCCGAGGGAACAAGAGCTGCAGGTGAGCTCCGGGACTCACACCCTTTGTGAATCTGCACGGGAAGTCTCGCCTCCCGCCTTGTGCCAGGGGCTGAACATGGTAGTTTCCTGCAAAGGTCCACATGTTACAAACTTTGTCCCTGGGAGGCAGCTCTGGGAGGAGCTACGGGCCTTTGGAGGTGGGGCCTCATGGGAGATTTTTAGGTCATTGGGAACATGCCCTGGAAGGGGATCGTGGGTCCCTGGCTTCTCAGCTTCTCCCTGCTTCTGTCCCTTGCTTGAAATGTGAGCACTTTCCCTGACCTGTGCTATCACCACACTGGGCCACCTTCACCAGAGGCCCAAGCTAACAGGACCTGCTGGTCTTGGACTTGGACCTGTGTTTCCTGCATAAGTAGACTGTGTCGGGTACTTTGTTATAGTGACGTGAAGCTGACTGACACGCTGTGGGATGGGGGAGTCTCTTTCTAACATCTCACACTTGGCCTTCCTTCCATCTTTCCTTCCCATTACTTCTATTGTGCACATGAAATTCACATTGCGACCACTTTAAAGTGGTCCACTTTTAAGTAAGTTCACAGTGTCATGTCTTACTTATTTTTTTTTTATCATTACAAAGGGTATACAAACATTTACTGTGGGATATATAATTGGAAAAATGCAGAGAAGCCCAAAAAGACGGAAAAAATCATTCTCAACCAGAAATAATCTCTTTTGTTTTGTTTGCAGTGCTGGGGACCAAACCCAGGGCCTCACACATATTAGACAGGCACCTGACCACGGAGCCATGCCGTCAATCCTCTTATTTATTTATTTATTTTGGAACTGTGGACTGAACCCAGTCTCACTTGATTGCCCAGGCTGGCCTCGAACTTGCAATCCTCCTGCCTCAGCCTCCCAAGTCTCTGGAATTACAGGTGTGTGCCAGCTATATCCTGATGTTATTGTTTTGATTCCTCTATTTCTAGTCTCTCAACAAGAATAATTTAAAAAATACAAGTGGGATCTCACTCTAGTACTTTCTTGGTCAATAGACTTTTCTCCTATCAGAATATTTTGTGACTGCTTTCATGTGTTAGGTTCTTTAAAAATCAATCACTGGATTTTTAATACAGAGGGAAAGAGGGAAGAAATTAAAATTCTCCCACCGTGTTCTGCTGACCTTAAAACACCCCCCCACTCCCAGGTAAGGAAACCACGCATTGCAGAATCGAAAGGAAGGACGAAGAAAGGGAGGGAAAACAACAGCAAGGACAAAAAAGTGGGCCCCCCCTTCCCGCTGCCTCCAAAAGTGAGGAATAATTCCCTTAGATTCTTCTCCGCACAACAGTCCCCATCCGCCATGTCCCCGCGCCCCCACCTCTGGGCTGACTTGAGTGGCTTGAGCCACAGCGGGAGCCCTGCTGGTCTAAGGGCCCTGCGTTTGTGTGACCTCTGAGGCCACCAGACCCGTGCCTTTTACTTCTGAGCGTTGTCAAAATCATGCCCTGGACAAGCGGTCACCTGGCACGTGGGAGGCCCAGGGTTCCAGCCTCAGCACCTCGTAAAAATAAACAAGTAAAGACACTGTGTCCGTGCACAGCTGCAAAATCCTTAAACGTTATGCTCTGGAGGGTTTTTCCTTTTCTTTTCTTTTTTCGTGGGTGGGGGGTGGAAGGAGCAGAGGTTGGAGGAGAGGGAAGCAGCAACTATGTGTCCCCAAATCCGCACCAGGACAGAGGACAAGGAGGGCGCGGTGGCCGCCGTTCCCCGTCCCGCCTGCAGGGGGCAGCCGCCGCCCGACCCCGGCGCCGCGATGGGCGGCCTGGACCCCGCGCTGCCCCCTCCCCCAGGAGGCGCCCTCACGGGTGGCACCGTCTGTGACAGACTCCAACCCAGCAGCCCGGCCGTGGAGGCCTTGGAGCTGGCCCCTGGCCCGAAGCCCCTGTCGCCGCGTTCAGCTTCCCGCCCTAAACTGGACGGATGGGAGCTGCCGGGCGCTCCCCCCCTCGCCCACCCAGCCCCGGGCTCAGGTGCCGCCGGCCTCACCCCAGCCCCGGCCCCAGCCCCGGCCCGAACTTGAGCTCAGGGACAGGGCTTGATTTTGTAAAGACGTTTTAGTTTTGCACTTGTCCCCCCGACCCCCCCCCCCCCACCCCT